ACTTCATTCGTAGCTCAATTAGATTTGTTTTATATGTTGTTATATAATATATTGATCTTAAAAAGTAGCTCAATTATTGATGGGATTGTATCCATCTTGCTCATTCTTTAGATTATTGTTTAGAATAGCTCGATCTTTGTACAAGCATTATTTGATTACTTGACTTATGCAAAAGGGCTTTGAGACAGTAAATAAACTGTTAGATATAGGGTCTCAATTATTGATCTTATGCAAAGGGCTTTGATCACTACATCAATGCTATTAACTTATCGAAAAATGACTATTTACAAAATTCTATCCACCATAATCTATTAATAATAAAACTCTAGCTACTAAAAAAATGTGTACATCAGACAATAGTGACAATCTGATAAATAAAGAAACATCACTTTATTCATGTGTCTCACTCTTTAATATACATGTACCAATATTCTTACAAAACTAATGAATCATAACAATCCCAAAAAAAAAAAATTGGACACCCACAACACTCTTCTTACTAGCAACAATTGATGCTCAAGTTGGAAAATTGATTGGACAATTCTGACCCCCCACCTCCCATCCCCCTTCTCACCCCTTTCATCTTTGTCACATTTTGTGGGTCCCACTTCTCTAATCTCGAATTATTACTATAATTATAATTATTATTACTATTACTCTCTTCATTCCAGTTTAATCTTTCTACTTTGACTTTATATGTCTTTCGAAAAGATTGTGAATAGGAAGAACAGAATGAGACAGATGGATGATTATAACTGGTGGAATTTGAGAGTTTCCATTTGGATAGCACGTAAGTGGGCCTTCTCCAAGGAGGGATGTGGAGGCCCCTCTCCTTAAGGGATTCTTGAGCAGCTGAGCAAAGGAGAGAAATTATCCTGTTTAATTGGTCCTCATTTCCTACAAATATTATTGGAAGTATGCTAGTGAGTTGTGTGTAGCTTTGAGTTGGCCTTGCTACTTCAAATTGAGACTTGAAATCAATGTCCACTATTAGTTTTTGTGACCTTCCCTTTGCATCATCTTCCTTAACTACTTCAATATATTCATAGTTTCCTGTTATTTTATAGAAAAGGAAAAAGTTTCAATAAAAATGTAGAATGAAACTTAAATCATACAACATAGATGATTTGTAAAGGTATGTAAATTGTCAAATTTTAGGAACTAAAGTAAAATCACATCATATCATTGATTACTAAACTAATGGGCATTATTAAATGTACTCAAACCATGAAAGGTCTTTTTTTTTTTTTTTTTTTAGTGGCACGCATATGGTAATTGATGGAAAAAGTTATCTTACTAAACAAATGGAAGAGTAACTATTATGTTTTGAGAAAATATGGTATATATCAATATATGAAGTTATAATAATTCTTATATAAACTCATATGCAAGTATTTCCTAGTGCATTTAAGGGCGTAGATTTTAATAATATGTTGTCGCAATTTAGGTGCATCATAGAGGTTTTATAATGAGCAAATACCAAAAGACCTCATTAAATCTTTTAAGAAAAGATAGATCAATATAATCTTTGGGTATGGATAGAATGATCTATTATTGGACTATCAAAATTTTCCATATTTCAAAACTTAACAAAATACAAAATTTAACTAAAATTATTAGAAGCAATCAAAATATTTCCTTTTTCGCTAATAAATCAACAACGACGTCACAACGCAGAAACACTTAATTACGTGTAATTAGAAAGAGATGAGTGATAAAGTAAGTTAATTACCACAAGGACATGAAGGGGTAGTGACCCAAGAAGTGTGACAAAGTGAAGCACAAATACCCTCCAACTTAAGACACTTCACAACCCATTTCTTTACTCGACTTGTTTTCTCTATATCTATTTTGTTCTTCATAAGCCTCTCTACTCTTTCAAGGATATGTCTCTCTTCTCCTGTCTTCTTCCTTAGAATCTCCTAATATGATCCAACAAATAAAAAAAATCATAAATATAATAATAAAGAAAAAGCGTGTAACAAAACTAATTCTTTCATATCTAAATATTCTTCCTTAGACAAGCACCGTTAAAGTAAGGATAATATTTAGAGACGGAGTGAGTACTGATATACAAGTATATCTACGTAAATGACTTACTTGAAGTGTGAAGAATCTTGTAGAGTGAAGAAAATGTGCATGATTATTGATAGTAGGAGGATCATAAAAGTTGTGAGATGATGAAGTTTGTGAGTCGGATGATTCAATGAAATCATGAACCATTTCTAAGAGCTTCTCTTCTTCTAAACTACCCATTTTTCTTAGGAAATTATGATAAATTTCTTACTTTAATTTGTAGTATAATTATTATAATTGTTTCATACAAATAATTTGGTGGGTATTTGTAGGGAGAGATGGGGTGATGGTGGGAAGTGTGGAGAGCTAAGCTATAATTACGGTCAAGTGGTGATAGATGAGGTCATTGTGGGGAATTTTGCGGAATATCCTTTGGTTTTTTTAAAATTAAATAAATATTAAAACAGTCACTAATCTTTGGAGAAAGTAAAGTTGGATTTTATTATTTGGGATAAACCTTATTTATTCCTTGGGATCAATTTATTATTCCACATATATATAGATGTCATCCATAATCCAAATATATATTGATTTTATCCATAAATCCATAATTCACATATATATATTGAAATTAGTTAAGTGTTTTTTGTTTAGCCTCATTATTATAGGAAGTGTTACGTTATTATTACACAATTATGCCTAGGTGGATTGAAGAGCGCATATATTTAATTTATGGATTGGATGTCATTTATATTAGCTATAATAGCTAAGTATGTAAGGAATTAAGAGCTAGAATTTAAAATTTGTAATCAAATATCATTTATATCATTACAATGTGGCTATCTACACGTCAAGAGTATTTATTTTTAGTTTTGGAAAAGTGGTTTTGGTTAATTTGGAAGATTAACTAAGAGATTGGAGGGCACTTCTTAGACATTCAAGATGTAATTCAGATGATAAAATATAGTAATCCAAGCTCTTTAATTAACAAAATATTTGAGTACAAGTAATGACAATTAACAAACACTAGATGTTTTTTTTAGGGAACAAATACTAGATGTTGAATGAAGTTTTTATTATACTTCATACTTATTACTGAGTAGTTGAAAAGTTACACAACTATTATTTTTTTTTACCAAAATACCCTTAATAGAAATATTACTCTCTCACGATTGAATTTGTTTTTATATTAAAATAAATTAATGGGTTTTCATTTATTCACAAAAATATGTTGCGAGTATAAATGCACTTGTAATAAAAATCTCATCACTTCTAATTTTAATAATCTCTATGTTAAAACTAGTAGGCAATTACTATACTTCGTATGTCAATAGTATCTACGTCAAGAATTCGAGATAACTGAATCCGAGTGGAAGGAGTGCATTGCATTAAACTTGCTAGCTTCATCGTCGGCTTTTACATTGAAAACGAAACATCATTTTTTTCATGATATAGTTTTGTATTCCACAGAAGACATGACTTCAATGTCTATCCCAAACTTTGGAGCCAAAAGAAGAGTGCAATGTACAAAAAAATCTATGGTTTACAACTTTACATACTAAGCAAAAAAACAAAAAAAAAACACAAAAAAAATAAACATTTCCTTAGAAAAATCAGAATTAATGAGCCCCTTTAATCAGTTCAGTTGCAAACAAACTTGTCGTGCAAATTGAATTCGTACATAGCATTTTAAGTTTTCAACCCACTTGGTCCGTCCTTTTTATTTTTGTGTCTTTGGATTTTTCTTCTTGTTTGGTCTTAATTTTCTCTTTTTTGTTCTTCATTTTTTTTTATGCAAAAAATCTTGACAATGTTACCTAGGAATCTAGGATAACTCAATAAATTTTGGTGGATCATAAAAAGAAATTAAAATAAAAAATAAAAAATAATTTAAACACTAAAGATAAATAGAAAATACCCCTTTATTTATTATAAATTGTCCCGCTTTAACTTTTTATTATTAACCTGATTTATTTTGACAACATAATTCAACTATATTTATACATAAATAATGTTAATGGGTGAAAATGTCAAAGTATTTTTCTTAATGTACATTTTTAAAGTATCAACTTTTGTAATTTTAACTAATGTACTATAAAAATTAATGATCAAAGTTAAACTAAGTTAATTAAAAATTTTCAACATAAAAATTTAAAAGTTAAAAAAGAAAGGTTTTTAACCTTTTTTCTCCTTTTATCAAAAGCAGCCAATGAGAGAGTATGTGACTATGTACTTATAAAAGTTGTAATAAGATTGGACTAAGTGTTTGAAAAAAGTTTCCGAATGGTTAAACCACTCAGATTGACATTATTATGCTTTGATCACCATAATTTATTAGGCATAAAGCAAAGTTCATTAAAGTAGGTGGGTTCTCTATATTGGGCTGATTAAGGCCCAACCCAAACTCTCGCACAATTTTCTCGGCTTACGGGCTCAGACCCGGATCCAATCTAAATGGTACATACTGTAGCTTTTGCAAGTCCTAGACTCTAGTGTAATGAATGGGATAGGTGCGTGCAGTGTTTGCACAAGGCAAGAAAGGTCAAGCACTCAAGCACAATTCGCGAACAATGCATGCGCCATTCATGACCCTTTAACGAAGTCATGAAGTTGCCATGGATAGATCCTAAAACCTTAAAGCTAGCTTTCAATATTTTCAATTAGAACTCAGGAGACACTCCCAAGATCTGCAATGTGTTGAAAACCAGACTACTAGACACCCTTTAAAGACAGACACATAAACAGTGAATGCCAACTAGCTAAGTTGGTACATTCTTGGGGTGTGGAAATGGAATTGAATCCAGTCTACATCAATAGTTCAATACCATAGTGTGGCCTCTTATGCACCAAAAACTAGACACATATGCATGGACATATATAAGTAAATTATCTGGATGTGCTAATTACAGCAGGAAGATACAGTAAGCGAAGATAATACTATGAAAATGCATCCAAGAAATTAAAAAATAAAGAGAAAAATGATATTAGAATGAAAAATGAATCATTTTCATTTTTTCCTGTGGTCCGAAATCAGGATGGTCATTAAAATTGAGTTCCAGCCAGAGACCATCCATCATAATCAGAATCCTATAAAAAAAATATAAAAAAAAAAAAAAAACAATTTGCTGCTCTATAGTTTTCTAGTCCACATTGTGGACCTCTAAAATACCCTAGAAAATCTAATAAATTTGGCTGGATAAATTTCTTTCACTAAAAAATAGAGAAGGGGAGCAAAAGAAGCTTGCTAAGAGAATAAAAAAAATGTTTGGCTGTGCATCAATGATAACCTGAAGATTATTTACCATCAAATGGAGCCGGTGAACCTACAGGGATGTCTCTGTATTCCAAATTAGACGATAGCCTCTGTGCAGGAGTCTTCAGAATTCAAATAAAATGATGAGTCGGATACTCATGCTCATACCCATTGTAATCATAGTACAGCCTCTCTCCCTTGGCAATGTCACGGGTGACAACTAGAAGGACACAGCATTCACCATTGACGTCATACCTCACACATTTAAGATTCTGTTTCTTCTTACTTTCCCTGCATTAAAAAAGCACTCCAGTGAACCTCTTTATTTAATATGAAAATGCAGTCCTAAAATTCCTTTTCTCGAATTCGTTTGGACAAAGACATTGACTAATGGTAGAGCAAAAGAAGGAAAACATAGGGCTTACGGTGTATGGTTATTGATGCCGCTGATGAACCGAGCAATATTTCCACGCTGGTCAGGACAAATAACCAGACTCTTAGATGGATCAGTCGCGAGAAGAAGGGTCATCAAACTATCACAGTCATCTCGCTCCCGATTTTTTATAAAATCCACATCTCCAGCATATTCCGCTAAGACTGTCATATCCTTGATCGGGGCATCAGCCTGAACAGTGTACCTGCATCCACATTTCATAATAAGGCAAAATCAAGCTTCAAACCAAGAACAATGAAAGAATATGTGGCTCAAGATCAAGTACCCTTCACACGAGTCATAAACTACCAATAGAGGTGGGCATTCGCCTCTTCTGAGCATAGCTCTGCACTGTTTTACTGTCTCATAATCCTCTTTGGACAGTACCTATAACAAAACAAAACACAATAAACAAAAGCAAAATGATAAATCAGCGTGCCAAGTTTCCTATGAATCTTTTTAATTAATAAGGATCTGATCAGTTTCAGTAAGGGAGTAAAGAAATAAATTGAATGACTTCGTATTAATTATTTTGTGGGAAGGAGGGAGTTTTTCAGTTGATCGTAATGAATGATAGGTGGCAAAAATGAGCTCGCACCTGCATTCCTCCATCTTCTAATATTGCCCGATTAGCAGATCTTGGAGCCATCCCAGGCAAGTAGGTCAAATCGTTGCTGAACTCCATTTTTAATGCAGTCAAAGCTCTAGCTAGAGAACCCATCTGTTCCAACCTTTGAGCTGGATCATCAGTTGGAACATATGGCAGCAGTCTCCTCTTTTTCTTCTTATAGCAAACCAATGTGCCAGGGCGTCTTCGACGCTTCTTGGTATCTGAGAAACAAATTGATACTTCAGTCTAGGAGAGCATATATCTGATATAATATCAGGTAGTAAAATCAATCCACGAGATACAGATCTTATAGAGATAATATGCATAAGACATGCCTTATTAGAAGTTTGTTCACACTTGCTTGCCTTATACGTCACAAACTTTTTAAATGTTCACGCAGAAATACAAGTTGTCAAAAACATTAATTCAAGATATAGACTTTCAAATCTTTATCAGCTAAAACACTAACTCTGTAACAGAGAAAGCCATGATGAATAAATCCAATCCTATCAACCCGAAGCTATCAGACTCTGTCAATCACACCACAACTGAGAGTTCAGCAAGTTCTCAATATTAGTTCTTACGTGCAGATCAAATACCACATGCTTTTGTATTACAATAACAAAAGGATCATTCCAGTTATGCTTAATAAACACTAACCCAAAAGGAATACAATATTGTAGGAATTTATCCTCAACTCAATAGTTTATTAAAGGACAGGAGTAGGAAAAAAAAAGGTCTTATCTTTGACACATTTAGGCTAAGCTAAATGTAGTGTACATCAGGGATTGAAACAAAACCCAGTCAAACCTTAATCCACGATGTGTGCCTGGCTAATTGGATCCTAAGCACTAAAGCAGCAAAGGAATCTCCCAAGGTGAGGCTCCAAGTCTCCAACTGAGTTTGAAAAGGCTATTCACAGTCTACCCTCATAGTCATATAATTACTTAATAATATAATCCCCAGAAATTGCCACTAGAGAACGTACTAACATTAATGCTAGGGAATTCACTATTAATGAGAGGATATGCTTTCATAATAAGCACTATATGCGGTGCTGAGAGCCTTTCTTGCAATTTGAAAACCATAATACGACAAAGATACGTATTAATAGGAAATACAAATGCTAATTACACTTCACACCAGTAGCCTATTCTTCAACAAGGATATGCATATAATATTACGTTTTCAGTTCGACAAAAGATTATGTCCCCTATAAAAACAATTTTTACCAATTTTGCCTTTTACTCTATCTATTTATATCAAGAGTCTTCATAAAGAGAGTGAGTAGGCATATCTAGTCTGGCATATCAATAACTGAAAATGGTCTATGCTTCTATATGACAATGCAGCTAAACTGAAGAATCTTTTGCCAGATGCAATTGACAAATAGAAATTTATTCTTTTATTTTTGCAATACATAAACTAAAAGAGCCAAGAATCAGGTCACACACTTTCCCGGGTTGACCATCTCTTATGCAAACTTAACATGGACAGAATGCCAAAAAGCATCTAACTGCAGTAATTGGTTCCAGAGTAAGAGCAGTGCAACCCACTTTTAATTAGAAGCATGCTGGATGAGAATTTACTGTGAAATATCCACAGTACAGAAATATCAACACCAGCAATAGCCAAACTATGGTTCTACAAAGTTTCGTTGATTTGATTACATAACATGCAGCTGACAAGAGAATTCTAGTAGTTTGGTAGTCTTATAATAGAGGCAATAGAGCACATGCAGAGCATTTACGAGAAAAATGCATGAGTATAATGCCACAGGTTGTCTCTCCCCCAACCAAACAGAGTGGAGGCCATAGGGTCCCCAAGTATTTCCTATTAAGCTTATGTAGAGGAGCAAGCCAATTTGTAGGAAATTCTAGAAGTGCTGGAGCACAAAACAAAAAAACTCTATAGAGTACTTGGTTACTAAGCTTGCAAATTGGGCTAGAATGGTTCTTAGGCATAGGAGTCCAAGATATATGCATAGGACAATTGAAAAGAGGCTAGTTTGTTGACAGTGTGTGCTTCTAGGGCAGGATTATAGATATCTCATGTATTTACTTCTGTAGTTATCCATATATCTCCGTAATTGCCTAGAAAGTTCTAGGGTTTTAGGTAAGATTTGTGGTTAGGGATTATCCACAAAGGCACAAACTACAAATGTGTGTTGTATAGTGCCAAGTAGAAATTATTTTGGCCACATCTCAAGGAGGTTGGAATGTAGTATAGGGGTTCAGATCTTATAAATAGGCACAAGAGATTCATACAAAGAATTGGAGAGATCGTTCTAAAACGAGTATAGATCCTAGTTATAGGACTAGTTACATTGATTAAGTAGGTCAAGTTGATTATACTTTGATGTCAAAAGTATGAATTAATACAAAGGGTAACATATTGTAAAATAGCAATGTAATTAACATCTTATGAGAGAATGAGGGTGAGAAAAATGGTTTAAGGTAGCCCATAGACCCTATACAATTCACAAAAAACACACAACTACGACATTTTAGATTCCATAAACATACACTAAAAAATATGGAAACAAATTACGTGCCACAATATATACATACAATTTACCTCTCAATGATGTTAATTTGTTCTAATCATTGACATTAAAAGATCTAAAATCAGGTTTATTAGAAAACACAACCTTATATGAAATATAAAACATGGCTCCTAATTCTATAAATAACGTACAATCGTACATACATTTAATGCAATTATAATTATAAGTAATTAAAGGTAGAAGAAAACAAATCAAGTTTAATTGAAATGATATTGCTCTTTCTCGTTCACTCCTTTTTGTCTCCCTCCAGCGTACAATCTCTTCATTAAATTTTATTGGATTATCTCATGATGCTATATATGATTTTTCTCTCGTCAAGTTAAAATCGTATCTGGAGTGGTCAAATTGAGACATAAATGATATACAATAATATTAGGATGACTACCATACTTTTTTCAAAATTGATTTAAAAAACTTATTCTTTTATCATATGTAAATTTTTAATTTACTTAGTTACCTAATTTATATTTAATCATTAACCCCTCTTATTCTCAATTTTGGCAACAAATTCATTGATTATCTAAAACTCCTGGTAATCACATTCATTTGATACTTAAAGATTAGTAAAAAAAATTACGTGTTAATCTCATTATTCAATTGATGGATTATACTTTATTTGGAAAATTGCACTAGATTTTTTTAAAATATAACGCATCTTTCAAAATCATTCTCACATGCAAACATGTTTTTTTAATTACACAAATCAACATTTCTCACTTTAAAATTAGGGTTCCACTTCAATCAACTAAAAGTCTTTAAAAAAATGTAAACAATTTCAATTCAAGTTTATTACAAGACACATTATTCAAAAGAATCCAAAGAAAAATTTGTTAAATCTGAATGCTTTCATCTTGATTGTTTTCTTAAACTACATCCTTGTTTTCATAAGTTTATCGAATTAATTCTTTGCATATAGCTTTTATGTATTTATCAAACTCTTAGATAAAGTTCAATACTTTCATTTTAATCTGATACTCCAAACAACTTTCTCATTATTTAATCTACCATTATCATCTCTTTGAATCAAAATTAAACAAAAATCTATCTCTTTTTTTTTTTTTTTTTTTTTTTTTTTTTTTTTTTGTTAAATGAAATCTTCTAAATTCTACGACTAATAATTTTATAGATTTATAATTTAGTAATACTCATCCTTGATATTATGTGCAACTTTATATGTTGACCTTAATCACAATTCATGATAAATTGACAATCAATATAAAAATAATAGCTACATTTCAAAAAATAAAACTTTTTTTCTTTTTGAAATATAATATTCAATAAAGAAAACAAACTACATCCATTTGTAAGAGTGTATACACAACCAAATAAAACACAAAAATTGAACACTCATTAGTCATTACCTTGAGAAGAAGTAAATTGATACTTCACTCCCTTACTCTTCTGAATTCTAAAAAAGTCTATAATCTTCCTCTGCGACAAACCTATACAAAAATTATGTTTTTTATCAAATAAATTTTTTTTAAAAAAAAATACCAAATAAAATTATCAAAATTTATACATGCATGATACATAAAAATAAAAACCCAAAAAAGTAAAAAATTCAAAATTTATTTTCCAATAATAAAAAAGAAAAATTGAGGTTCAAAGAGGTTCCCTACTTCTTACTCGAGGCTGGCCGGAGCAAGACGAGCAAAGCCAGGATCCGATTGGGACCCGAGTAACGATGGGTCGGACACAATTCATATGAAAGCCTTTGTCACATTTGTCACATAACAAGAGCTCCATTTCACCATCACCGGAGCCACATTCCTCGCATTTTACATCCGAATAATCTTCTTTTTCTACTACTGCATACTTTGCTTTTGCATAAATCTCCGCCATTGTTTTGTATTTTCGTTCTTTCTTTGTCGTCTCCGATGATGAGCTCGCCGGAGATGGTGCCGCCGTCCGATGAACCGATCCATTGATCGGAAGTTGCTTCTGGGTTAGGCTAAAAGGTGCCATTTTCAACTGGGTTTGTGTTTTATTTTGGTTTAATGGGGTGGAAATTATGTGGGTCGGGTGATTTTGACCCGGAATTTTGGGTGGATTTTCAGAAAATTGAGGTGGTGGGAGGTGGGGTTTTGGTGGTGGCGGTGGTGGTGGAGCTCATGATTGTAAGAAATTGCATTGTAATTGTGAAAAAATTGGGGGAAAAAAATGAAATTAATGAAGAAAAAAATTGTATTGAAAAATGAAAATGGTTTAATTTTGTTTTTGTTGGCGATGGAATAGGAGGAGAGGAAAAGGTTTTTTTGTTAATTTTTTTGGGGTTTTATTTTACTTTTTCTAGTAAGTTTGAAAGTATTTTTCTTTGTATTATTTTTATTGTATAGAGTTTTTAGCCGTTGAATACATGTTAGGTTTATACAAGGGGGTGAAAGAAAATGAGAAAATTACTCACACTAATTGAGCTTTTATGTATGAAAAGTTCTTGGGAAGGTACTTGGTGATTGGCATGGGTATTTGGATAGCAAAGTGTGAAATAGAAGAATTTTGGATCTTGCTCATATAATTAATGGTCCATTATCAGGTTGATTTTTTTTCTTTTTTATGTTATATGGGATAAAGGATAGAGGAACGATTAGAATGAATACGAATGTAGACAAGTTGGCTAAAGCGGGAAAGAGATCAAGTGAGATAGATGGAGAATGGAAAGACAAGTTGAGTTGAAACGTTCATGAGAGCATTGAATGGTTGCTCAAATTACATGATATGTGGCGTTTTATGCATAAAATGAGACTATAATCAGGCAAGTTTTAATCTAAATTGTCTTCTTGTGAAGTTTCAAAAGTCGTAACTAATGTAAAGAACACGGAGTATAATGTTAAATTCAATGAGGAAATCCATGAATAAATCCGCAAAATGAATTTGTGTTTTATGATTGTAACCGTAACGTGTGGGATATAGCATTATTCTTTATTAATAAGGCAATTATATATTATACTCCGTATCTAAATCAGATTACTCTTATATAATGTTATTTATAAAATCTCATATTTTATCGCATTCCTAATAATTTTACAAGTGAATAAAAAGGTACGAGTAAAAGAAAAAACGATTTGAAAAAAACTTTGATTTAATTTACATTAAAGGAAGAGTATCATAATCAAAGTTACTCCAATTAAAAGGTCACATGATAAGCTACGAGATTAATTGTTAAAAGTTACTCAATTATGAAATCTAGTCGCATATATTAATCAATTTTAACAACGGTAATAAATTACATAAATTTCCTTAGGTTTTAAAAGTTTAAAACCAAGTGAGGAAACCTAACTTTATCACATTCAATGATACACCTATGTCTTGATTCGTAGTTTTAGTTTGAAAGTGGACAATTATAAACTACGGAGTATTTATTTCATCTAATTTAATGAATTTTTTAATTCATTACGAGTATTAACTTGTACTCCGTACGTTATAATACACCATAATTACTCTATCCATAATCTCTCATATACGTAGTATAAGATATATTCAACCAAGCTAAACTTCTTATGATTAGCTTTTACTTTTTGTTCCCATCTCAGAATTCCTTTTAATTTACTTTCTAATTTTAATGATTCGGGTGATGATCATGGTAAGCATGTAAATAATTGAAGCCTCCGGTGCTAAATTTGGTAATAGATCAAGCAAATTCTTGAGTACAAATACCTATCCTTTCCAAGATTATTTCCTCCAATCCTATTATGATATTTAGAACACATTACTACTATACCTATTACCTTTGCTTAACAAATAACAATCCCATATTACTGTGTACATACGTCTAATGAAATACGATGTATATGTACTATGTATATATTTCTATAAAGGTGAGATACTATAGTGTTAAAATCGAGAAGCCAAAATCTTTTAATGAGGTTTATGAGAATATTGGTGATCATGTTTTACTTTTTATGTCTCACAAGTCACAATAAATTTATTAGCCAATGACCATTTTTGGGTGATAGAAAACATCATGATCACCAATGACCGTAACATAAGTTCTTATATTTTGTACAAGTACATGTTAAGTCCGTCTTATATTGTATGAAATGCTAATACATTTACAAATTTAATACTCTCTATTCAAATCAAGTTATAATCATTATTCTGAAACTTCACAATATAAATGTTCTTGTCGTCAATATATAAGCATTTTTAATGATGACTATTCAAAACATATATATAATATGGTTTGACGAGCAATTGTTATAATATATAATTAAATGATGTATATTGATTGCGAATTCAGGGTGTATATTAAGAATATTTTTTCCAAGTTATAGTACCACAAGAAGATGGCTTGAATTTGAGACTCAATTTATCGACTTGCCCTATTGTCTTTTTACTTTCTATATAAACTGCGTTGTAGTCCTTCATTAGTAGAAACTTTTAATTGTGGATTATCTAAATTTGATTTAGGTATAAAATATTACCTATAGTATAGAATACTTTATTTGTTAGTTTTTAAGTTGATCTCAAATGGATAAGTTAATACTAGCTGATGTTAGTAAATCATTGCGATGAAAATGAATATATATCCCAAATCATACCATTAGTAGTTGAAGTCATAAACTAAATATCTTCAACGAACTAATTTCATAGAACTTGACGAAATTGAATTTTAAGACTAATCTAAGTAGTATTTGTTTCTTGAATTTTGACCACCTGTCTTTGACCCTCAAATTTTGATTAAATTGACCAAAATTTTATATTTGAGCTTGTACTTTTCTGAAGTTACATCTATAAACCGGAATTTATTTCTTAATTTCAAACCTTGTAAAAGTAATTCTTTTTCTCACATGTCGACAAGGAGGAGTACCTCATTTCTTATGTAAGGTGAAACTAATTGTGAAGTATAGAGTACTTGAGCTTAGTTTAAAATTCATTGATCAATACTAAGGCGTTTATATTTTATTATGTAACTGTATTTCTTATTTTACTAGGATAATAAAACACCAAGTGTTTTAGCAATGAATCCATTATTTTGGTTGCTTTGTAAAGATAAAGACTTGATTCAATAATGAATTGCTTGTACTTATAAAATGTAAGAAGTTGGAAAAGGAAGGTTAGTATATTAGCTTGTTGTGAAATTTTAGTTAAATGACAAATTTATTCCAAAATAATTAAAACTTACACTCTTATACTCAGCTAAATTTATCACCTTATTTTAGTATAAACTACGTAATTTTCATTTAATCAAACCAACCAATACAACAAAATATTTTTTTTTTTTTTTTTTTTTTTTTTTTGATTGAGTGAGAAAAGCTAGGTTAGCCCCTTTGATTGGGGATACCGAAAGCATCCTTTTGGATGATAAGGGAGAGGGAAGGCGCAAAATTATTAAAGGACCAAAGTAAATTTTCATGGTGGTGCCCCTTCTTTGCCATGTAGTTCGCCGCCATATTTGTCTCCCTGCAACAATGGTGAATGGAGTGAGAATCAAGTGTGTTCAAAGCTACCTCCGTGTCACATATGATGTTGTAGATCTCCCATAAGATTTGCCACGTCCTCTTGATGGCGTTTATGACTGCCAGATTATCGCCTTTTATAATCAGATTACGAATGCCTAGGAATTTAGATCCCTCTAAGCTTTCTCTTAGGCCCATTGCTTCCGCTTGGAGAATTGAAGTGCCGGGGTGGAGAGCCTTTGCCCCCGCAAGAATAAGATTCCCATTATGATCTCTAATTACAAAGCCAAAAGCAGAGCTATTTTCGCCTATTTTTGAGCCATCAAAATTTAACTTGTGGAAATTTCTTGGAGGGGGGAACCAAGCTCTTTGAGTTGTATTTTGACAATTTTATTTGCCCGGGACTTAGAAGATCTATGGGGGTTGTCTTCATCGCATATTTCAATATTTTGACTATTGAACCAATCATTAGTGAAGTTCTTGATTAGAATGCAGGTTTGTACTACATTGAAAGACTCATTTCTAAAAATTATTGAATTTCTAATGTACCAAATAAACCACCATGCTATATAAAAATTTTGTGTCGTCTCTAATGGGTTTGCTGCTCTTATATTCTGAATAGAATTGATAAATGATGTCCCCATAAATTTAGACGGGTTAGTCCATTTGCCTATCTTGGTAAGGTAGCTGAAGATGTCTTCTGCAAATGGACATTTAAAGAAAAGATGGTCTACATTTTCTGTGTGATGATTACAGAATTGACAATGAAGAGGAACTGTGAAATTGCTTCTAAATAATCTCTCTCTTGTAGGAAGTCCATCATTGCAAATTTTCCAAATGAAGTTTTTAATCTTTGGAGGGAGATTAGTTTTCCAAATCCGTTCGTATGAAACTTTTGCATTTAAAGATGGGTCATAGATAAGAGCTAAATAAGCTGCAAATTTTCCACTAGAAGTATATCCCCAGAATACTTTATCTTCTAGATTGTTAGAAGGGATATAGCCATAGGTATTTCGGGGGAGGATTTGGTTTAATTTAGTAGTATTCCATTGCTTGTGTTATGTGAAATAGGCACACACTTTCTCTGTTAAAAGACTGTGTGGAACATTATGAGTAAAATTAATTTATTATTACCATTTCCTACTTGTCATCTTAGGCCTTGTTTAAAAAGGGATCTTAATTTCATAAGGTTACTCCATTGCCAAGAGCAATTAGCAGCTGGTTCATAATCAAATAAAGATTTGTCTTTTAGGTATTTCTTCATTATGAGTTTAACCCATACATTGTTTGGTTCCGTTAATATCCTCCAAAAAAGCTTCATCTGCATAACTGAATTATTAACCTCTGCCTTTCTAAATCCTAGTCCACCCAAGTTTTTCGGTTTACATATTTTATCCCAACTAATGAGGTTTGGTGATTTTGAATCCAGAATAAATTTCTATACATCTTATCTAGCTCAATATTTATGGACTTCGGAAGGGTAAAGCTTTGCATTTGATAATTAGCCTTTGCTGCTAAATTTGCTTGAATTAGCGTAGTACGACCTGTTTGGGAAATAGAGTTTGCTTTCCACTTTGAGAGTTGATTTTTTGTTTCATATACTAAATCCATAAAAGTGCTTTTAGACATTCTTTTATCAATTAATGGACATCCTAGATATTTACCCAAATAATTAGTATTGTCCATTTCGAGTATTTCACTTAACATTTGTATTTCATCGTTGGTCACATTCTTTGTACATTGAAATGCTGATTTATTAAAATTAATTAGTTTTCTTGACATTAAGCAATACTTATCAAGAATGTCTTTTATGAGAGTACAATTTTCGTTACTTGCTTTAGCAAAAATCATAGTATCATCAGCAAAAGTAAGGAAAGGGATTCTAAATCCTGACCTACTAGGAGATATGCCCAAGTATTTATTTTTTTGATTTTTGCTACATTGTAGTTTTCTGGCAAGGAATTCTGCACAGATAATAAATAAATATGGGAATAGTGGATCTCCTTGTCTTATACCTCTTGATGGGTGAAATTTATCCGTTGGACAACCGTTTACTAATACAGAGAAGGAGACAGTTTTAATACACTCTTTGATCCACTTAATCCAAGTATGACAAAAACCCATTTTCTCCAAGGTTGTGAATAGGTAGCTCCACTCTATTCTATCGTATGCCTTTTCCATTGCTAGCTTAATTGCTATCTATCCTGATTTTCCTGTTTTGTTCTTAAAGGAGTGAAATATTTCATGTGCTATTAATATATTGTCTTGTATTATTCTTTCAGGGGTGAATTCTCCTTGTAGAGGATGAATTAATTTCACGAGAACAATTTTAAGTCTATTTACTAGGATTTTTGCTATTATTTTATAGAGGGTGGAGCATAAGCTTATGAGTCTTAAGTGATTTGTTTGTTCGGGATTATCTATTTTTGGGATTAATGCTAGAAAAGTGTGGTTAATTTCTCTTAAGATTTTTTCTGAATGAAAAAAGGCTTTGATAGCCCTTGTGACTGAATTACCGCCCAATTTCCAGTATTTTTGAAAGAAAAAAGTTGGGAACCCATTTGGTCCCGGAGCTTTGTCGGGGTCCATCTCGAAGACCGCTTCATAAATTAAGCACACTATCAACCAATACAACTAGTGAACCAACCATACACTAATGTAATGAAAAATAGATACTAAACAATAATAATTGTAGCTAAATCAAGAATCTACCACAACTAAACATCTATATACGGATTTAAACCCCGCAACCTTAAAGTTGAAAGGTACAATCCTAACAAGTAGACCAAACTTAGTTTGGTGTGCGTTAAACAAATATCTTGAGGAAACAAATACAAAGTAGTCAATTATACGAAGTAGGACGGACGAATGTACAAGTACTCCGTAATACAATTAATAATAATAAAATAATACGAAAAACCTCGTGTGTTGACTATTCCACATATTGACTTCTCTCTTTCCTCAGCCCTTCCCATATAACTCAACAAACAAATTTAATATCACTACTCATAAATTTAATTGCCGCCCAACCAATCTTCCCCTTTTTTTTTTTTTTCCCAAAATCACCGAATTTTATTTTCAACCCAGAAATCCAACCAATACTAACGAAAAAACCAACCATTTATAATTTCATTTCCATTCCAAAAAAACAAAATTAAAAAAAAAAAAAAACCACTCATTCACTTCCCCTGTTTTTGCCCATTTTCCGGCGAGATGAACCCGCCGCCGCAACCACCGCCGAAGAAGGCGAGGAGAGAGAATCAGATCCAGATCCAAGGCCCACGGCCCAGCCCACTTAGAATCCACAACAATTCTCAGAAAATCAAGAAACCTCCGATTGTACCCAAACCCGCTTCTCAAGCTCCAGACCCGGTTACCGGAAACCAACCCGTAATTATCTACTCGGTTTCCCCAAAACTCATCTTCGTAGAAGCTTCAAATTTCCGATCAATAGTTCAACATCTCACCGGAAGAGAATCAACGGCGTCGGAAACCACTTTTCCCGGCGAAGTCCCTGTTTCTCCGGCGGCGAGATTTGCAGCGATTGAAAGAAGTAGTCCGAGTGAGAGGGAGAGGAGAGAGAGAAGAGGTGAAAATGATAATGATATGATGAAGATGATGATGGGAGGAGAGAGAAATGATGGGGTTGAAACATTGGATATGGGTCAATTTCCGGGGATTTTATCGCCGGCGCCGGGGAATTTGCCCGGGATTTCGGCTGCGATGTTTTCGCCGATTGCCGCGGCGGAGAATCAAGCATGGTTTGGTGTGAATGAATTGTTGATGAGTCCATTTATGAGTAATATGAGCTTCATGCCAAGTCCTTCAGCTCTGTTTTTGTCTAATGCTCCTATTGTTTCTCCTTCTCCTTCTTCCTTTGGTGAGCTCTTCAACAACTTTGACTAAATTTTAGTGTAACTTTTAATTTTTTTGGTAGGTTTATTATTTTATTGGGTGATATTTGAATGGTGTACATTAGTTGTAGACTTGGAAAATTAGAAGTAAGTCTTTGTGGTAGCAGTATAAATGTATTCCACTGGTCGAGGACAATGATATAAACAGGATTTTGTCGTAGTAGATAAAAATAAAATGGGTTTCAAACAAGACTGTGCTGGTTAGGGAATAGGGAGTATAACTGTATAAGTTAGTTGGAAATTGGCATCCACAACTCCACAAGCTTAGTCTTGCTGAAGAGGGAGAAAATAAGTTGGGCAAAAATTTTCCCATTTTTTTTAATGAATATTTAACTTATATTGGGAGGAGAAATTAGAAGGGTTTGTACATTGTATTAATTTGTATTATTGGTAATATGATTTGATTCAAGATTATATATTTTAAAGTGTATATATATCTATCACTATTTCATTCATTCATAATTTACAGAAGATTTATAGTGTATATATGTATCACTTTCATTCATAATATTCAATTTGAGAGATCATGTATAAATGTATGATAGCAAAATCTACTCCTTTGTAAGAATTTATTTAATAAAAGTGTCATTTTCTTCAATGCAAATTTCAGTAATGTACGAAGTATATGTAGAGAGATTAGTATGCTTCTAACGTTGGGTTACCTAGAGGCTAGAACATGTAATTCTAAGAAAAGAATTACGCTGTCAATTTTCGCTAAATTAAATACTTTTGCTAATTAAAACTTATGAAATACATTACAGATATACTAGTAGTATTCAAAACTAAATAAAGACCGAGTAAAAATTGCTCCGTATATGTTATACTCCGTATGGAGTCCTACAATACATCACAACTACTAATATAAGCTTTTGCGATAGTGTTTTGCAAAAAATATTAATCCCTAAATTGTATAATTTGCTTATAAGATACGCAGTAGTACAATGATATAAATGATATAATACCCCTATAATTTCCCATTTTTAAAAAATTAGTGGAGTACTAGATACCACAATTTTTTTTTTCTTTCTTCTTTTTGAGGAAATAAAAAAAAAAAATTATACGGAGTACAATTATCTTATGAGAACAACATACTGACTACAATTCTACAAACTACGAGTACAATGATACTCCGTATAGAGGAATATGGTTGCGCACATCCTACGTCACCAAAAATGCTACTTATACGGAGTATGTAACAATAATGCTGTAAGATTCCACTAAAATGACTAAATATAGCTGATTAATAATGTTTCTATTGTAGCAAAACTGCACAAATGCAAAACCACTAAAGGCTACTCCGTACTAGTTTACGTCTCATTCACTACCTTCATTGCCATAACCCATAAACCACTGCCCACAGCATAGTGGCTTTCACAGACATCGGTTGATCTTCCTTGTCTTCAACGATGTGTCGATATCTATTATGCCTCTAAGCCTCGCAAAACTTAGACAGTGACTCAATGCTATTGTCCCAAGACTCCAGAGAGTCCTGGCCATAATACTATAGATAACAAGATGCAAATTGAAAAATGTTTTATCTTCAACTTTTGCCAAAAAAAAAAAAAAAAAAAAGACCAAAACAAACAAAGGAGTAATTAAGATTTGCCAATGCTGTACAAACGCTCGTATTCTCTTTCACCAAAAACTGGGTGAAAGTAAGTCACCCAATGCAACCAAACAAGCTGGAAGCAGTGAATCAGTTTGAGCTACAAATAATAAATTACAGGCCTACAAAATTGCTGATAGTAAACATATTCAAAGCAAAACTATGTTCAAAACCGAGGCATATCAGACTTGTATGAACTATGTGTATGTGAATAACATCCTAAATCCTAATAGGCGCATCCTCAACACTTTTTCTTCAGCTTGTGCTGTCTGTGTTTCATGTGTACTGTACCATTTTGAAACATTTTCTTGATTAAAAAATGTAGCATCTCTAATTACATCTGGCCTTGAAGCTTACAAAATTTTGTTGCCCAAGCAGTCTATTTCCGTCACAGCTGACTACTGCATTTATCTACGCTTGAAAGACACGTTGAACTCCTACTTTCCCAGCGATGCCCAAATCCCACTTGTCAAGAAAGTTTCTGGCTTGGGCTTAAAGACACTCCATAGATAGTATTTACTACGGAATCCTAAAAAGTAGAAAAGTAGGAAAATGTTAAGTGCATCTTAAAATACAGTATCAACACTACCCCAACTCCCCGAGTCCCCCATGCTCCTTAAAAACTAAGATGCTCCTTCCCTAAGCAAGTAGAGGATCAAATGTACATAATTTTACCCACCAAACGGCTGCATCCTATATATAATCTCATAGCTCTATTGTTTTATATAATAATAAAGAATAGTATCAACTTACTCCATTCTTCTCGAGGTAGTTCTTGTGAAGAAAAAACCAAAAGCTCCAAATTGTTGATGCGAGATTTCAGCACAAGTTCATCCTCAATCATCTTGTCAAGTAGAACCTCATACCTCTTCTCATCTCTGCATCAACTGATATTGGTCAAAGCCTCAAAGATAGAAAGAGGTACAAAAAATAATCATATAGGGTGGAGACTACCTTTCATCCACTGGAAAGAAATAGAGACCAATTGTGTCACCAGTGGGAGGTGCCTTTTCAAAACTCTTAGGCCATGCATCATCCTTCAGCAAAATTTCAAAGCTAAGAGAATTTGGCAATGCACTTGCAGCACCGAGAACTTTTTCATGAGCTTTGTTTGATAAATGAGCCTCAAGTTTAAAAGACGTAGGATGCACATCATTACTGATGCTAAAAAATCCCCTGGTAAAACAACAAAGGTAATGGTCAGTAACATGCATCATGGGAACACTTCCATGTCCTGACTATATAACGTATTCTATGACTAAATAACAGAAGCGTTCATCGTCGAGAACTAGAAAGTAACAGATGATCCAACTGTAAAGACACTAGATACCTCCATACTGCATTCATTATTGGCTGCGCAGGGCCACGTATATCAGGCATTACATTTGACAGTGGAGGAATGACACTTTTGTCATGATCTATGGAAGATTTTGGAGGCGGTATATAATCATCTGACTTAATATTAGGAGATGGTTGAGTAGGAAAGTGATCATGTGACTTGATTAGATGCTGTTGATCAAGACCTTTCGCAGAAGGCTCACCAAGCATATAAGTTAAACCCTGTCTAACATTAGGTAAAATCTGAGGATGATCAACCCTGGCGTAAACGGGTTCTTCGTCGGAATCAGAATATTCCAAAGATATAACCAACCTCCTCTTCTTCCTACGAGTTTGATCCATTTGATGAGAAGCAGGAACAGCTTTTGTTTCCTGAATATTGTCAGAAGTTATGTCTTCTGCACCATCTGACTGTTTAAAGGTTTGAGAACACCCAATTTCTTGCTGGTCCTCTAGAATACTTGAATGAATTCCAGATAAAGATTGCCCATGTTTATGCCAGCTCTCTGAGACAGAATCTCCACCCCTTATCTCATCAACTTTATCTGTTCTTTCCACGCCATGGGCTGATTCCTCGGATAGCTGAGAACCCAAATACTTTTCCTGATCTGTTTGTAGATCTTCACCACCACATAAAGAGTTCAAGTCCTTAATATTTTGTCCTGTCAACATTGAAGGTTCTGAACTTTCCTTCTTTGCACCACCAGCAGAGTTCACCTTTTTCTTCTGCCCTAATAGAGGAGACAGTTCAGAATCTCCCATCTTTGAAGCAATTTTATTTTTCTTCAACTTTCCTTCTTTACTTTTTACAAATTCCTTTTTCTTCTCATCCAAGGTAGATGAGTCATCTGCCCCCTTATTAGCTCTTTTCTTCACACAATTTGATTTTTCAACCTTTGACGTACTCAAACATTTATTCCGAGCTAATCCACGTAGTGTCTCTTGATCTACTTTTGAAAAAATGCGGTCGCTCTTTCTAACTGCTGGAGAGGCCTCAAGCATTCGAGGAACACAAACCTCACACGACCAACTAACTTCATCATCGCCAATATTGGCAGGACCATCTACACAATACCTGCCAATGAATGAAGATATGAAAGACGATGAAAGAGGATCATAATTCATAACCTAAATCCTCTCTAATGCTGAGTGTTTTTTTTTAACCTGAAATCACCCGGCCCATTTGGTAGTTGGTAGTTGGCAGTAAATGGGGATAATGGTAATTATTTTATAAATTTGTTTACAAAATTTCAGGCCAATACCCATGGTATGTATTCCTCCTCAAATACCTCTTTTTCTTCACAAATTTTCATTACCACCAATTACCATTTTGTAGGTGGTACTGTGTGGTAATGGAATTTTTGAACAAAAACACATATTTGAAGGTAGAGTTCCATTGACATGGTAAATTGGTAATGAACCTAAGATTTCCCAACAAATTCCTTTCCCACTATTTATGACCATTAACCAAATGTGCTAGAATTGCTTGTTTGGTTTACATAGGAATTAAATTCCAAAATTAAGTTAATCAAATTGCCAATTACCCAACACATAATGCCCAAAGGTGTGTTCTATTTACCTAATTTTTACTAATATGAACTTATCAAAACTTATTAAACTTTATTAGAATTTAATTTAGTTATAAATTGAATATAGCTCCCCTTATCAACCCTTTTTTTACCTAAACTTATTTGAACTTATTTATCCTATAAATTGAATATAGCTCCCCTTATCAACCCTTATTTTACCTAAACTTATTTGAACTAATTTATCCTATATTGAATATAGCTCCCCTTATCAACCCTTATCAAAACTTATTTGAACTTATTTATCCTAAAATAATTGTAAATAAGGAAAACAAAATAGACTCCAAGATGCCAATAAGTTATGAAAAGGCTAATAAACTCCAATGTATTAGATCCTATTCCACCCACTTGAGGATTGATGCTTACACTTCCAAACGACCCATGACATTGATTAACATCATGACTTAGCTTATACCAAAGCAAATGTAATTTGCCCTTCAAATTGACTAAGGGAACCGAATATGCCAAGCACTAACCTAGAATTAATAGTGTACCTCCTGTATTTCCTTATAGATCAAGAAGCCAATGTCAATAAATGTTGCAAAATTACTTAGCTTATATCAATTAAAATAGCAAATGTGATTTGCCCTTCAAATTTTCTAAGGGAACCGAATTCGACGAGAATTCATAGTGTATCTCCAGTATTTCCTTATAGATCCA